GGTTCGACTGATCTTTGGATAGAAAGTGTAAAGAAAGACAGACAAACAGATCGATGGCCGACACAGATAGACCCATAAAACTCGTATTGCGGAATTCGGCGGCATCAAATAACTTGAATAGTTGTATACTGAATGTTGTTTTCTGTTTTTGCGGAAATTCAATGTAATTTTTCTCGTGCATAATTTTTGTGGTGTAGTGTAAGTACTAGAGATGGTAGATAATTTTAGAATTTTACAATTATCTTCAGGTAAAATTTTTAAATTTAATTTCAAATTTTAATCAAAAGTCATTAATTTGTTGATATAAAATTTTTAATTGAAATTATTGAATTTATTGTACAATCACTATTGTGGTTTAATCTTAGGTTTTGCTAAATTTGATTTGGAATATAAAGATATCGACGCTTTTATTTTAAATAAAACAAATTTTTTTTTCATTTTATTATTCATAAAAACAGACGTTATCATTATTATTTACAACTGCTATCCCCATATACAATGTCATCATTTACAAAAATATACAACTAATTTGACTTAGAATTATTAATTTAGAAAACTAATTTCATTTTCATTACAATTCAAAACTTCAAATAAAAATTTTTAAAACCAAAATAACCACAAAAGTAACGAACCACCCATTGTTATAAAACAATTACATTTGTGGTTCTTTATTATTTTATTAGTTCAGGATTATGAAAAAAAATGGAATATACAAAAACAAAAAATAAATTACCCAACCACAAAATATTGATAAAGATTTTATTGAAAATTATAATGTAATAGCTTTCAAAATCATATTCTAAACAAATAAAAGTGTGCCACTCTTATTTTGACTTTATAAGTTTAATTAAAATACTTTTAATCTTTTGATATTTTAATTTCCTCACAAATGTTAAATATTTGGACAGAGATAAAATTTATCAAGTTCCATTCATAATAATTATAAAACTGGCCTTTTTATAAATTGCGTACATCCGATTCTCGTGTTATGGTCCTTTTTGACTATATTTCTTATTTCTCGTACATTAGCATAGTACGAGGAGTTTTGGTATTTTGCCATTATCAATTATGCGAAATTGCATCAAGCATCGTCTTATAAGTCAAAAATATTAGACAACCATTATACTAAAGTTCATCTTAAATTAACCATTAAATTTTGAAAAGAAATATTTTGAGCAAAATGAACCAATTTAAGTAGGTATCATTCCAAAATTAAGTACTATACCTCAGATAAATATTGTTTTTAAACTAAAAGAAATAATTGACGGTAATTATTTTTAACACCCAATAAAATATTATTTACAACATGCAAAGTACAAAATAATTAAACTAAGGTAAGACATCTTGACCATTTATTAACCAAATAAAGTCCATTATTGCGCTTGGTACGAGTATACAATGTAACAGAGCAGGGTTAATTAATTTTGCTCACTGTTTTTCAGTTTTTAGAACTCAATTTTTATATTGAAACAAAAAATATTTCGATTATAACATTATAAGAAGCTTTAAAACCAGAATCTGCCCATGCTATGCACAAATGGAAAAAAAACAACGCAGGGGGCCTTAAGGGAATACTAGAATTCTTTATAACTAATTCACAAAAGTGCACACATTTTACACCCAATAACGAAATGGAATACCGCGAACAGGTTGGAAGTTTCGGTACAAACACAGAACGAAGGGCAAACAAAATTAATTCAAGTCTAGACAAAATGCTGCACCAAATTTACATCAAAACAAGTAAAAACGTTTCAGTCGGTATAAACCGATTGAATTATACCCTGCACCTTTCGTTGTTGTATAGCAATTACTCAAACCTGTGAAACCATTCTATAGAAACTTCAAGGATATGTCTGATTTATAACTGGATACACAACTGCCAAGTTTCATGAATCTGACTATAATTTTTTCAAATATTTAAAATGGGATTTTGGAGTTGTATGGCAAGTACCCGAACCTGTCAAGCAATTCCATCAAAACTTCAGAAATATGTCTGACCTATAATTGGACACACGACTGCCAAAGCTCATGAATCTGATTCTATTATTTTTCCAAATATTTAAAATTAACTTCTGGAGTTGTATTGTAGGTACCCGAACCTGTCAAGCAATTCCTCTAAAACTTCAGAAATATATTTGACCTATAATTGGACACATGACTGCCAAGTTTCATGAATCTGACTTTATTATTTTTCCGAATATAAAAAATTTGCTGTTGGAGTTGTATGGCAGCCACCCGAACCGGTGCAGCTATCCTATTATAATTTTTGGAGCATGTGTAGAATATAATTGGACACATGTATACAAAATTTTATATTTATAGCTTTATTAGTTTTTGAAATATTTTAAATAAACTCTTTGAGTTGTATGGCAGCTACCCGAACCCGTTATCCGAATTAATCCAATAGCAATAGGGCTCGTCCTAGGCACAAAAGAAAAAACTTGTGAAAGTTTGGTGTCGATTGCATCACGGACAGACGGACAGACGGACATGTCTAAATCGACGCAGAATTTTACGCTGAGCAAGAATATATATATATGTCCATACCGCAGATGACTCCTTCATGTAGTTACAAACTCCATACCAAAGTTAATATACCCTCCACGAAGTGCAGGGTATAAAAACCAAATATCTAGAAACAAACAAAAGAAATATAACTCCTAAGAAAATAAAGAAAAGCAAATATTGCACACACGTACTCCATATAGTTTTACAAGTAGCAAAGTTATGTGTAAGGCCTATTATTAATTATGGTTGCCCAGTTTCGTTACTTTTTATGTCGGTGCATCAAATATTTGGAAAACATACCATTAACAAGTCTTGCAAATGTTGTAAGATTTAAGAATCAAATCCAAAGTTAAATCGAAAAGAAGAAAGTTAAATTTTTATATTCTTGTTCTTATAATTAGCTGGCTGATATACCTGCAGTGATTACGATTATATGCCTATGTCATTATTGAGTTTTTGAATATTTTTTTTTTTATAAATAACTCACATGCAATTTTAAATTTACCTAATTACTTGTTATATCATAATTAAATGAGCATTTAACCCCACAGACCAACCCCACAAAATACGGTCAAATGCGTGTAAATATTCTATTATGCGCTTATGTTTATTGAAATAAAATTTCATTAAAGCCGGAAAAATTAAGTATAAAATTCCGCTTTGAAAATTTTAATTTTAATAATTCAACAAAATTTTATACAATGCTACGACGTTCTAAATAGGCAACACACATGTTATCATACATGTTCCTACACAAAAACAAATTATTTATAGACCATATTATAAAATTCATGTTTTTATTGTGAAAATAAACGGTGTACAATGAAACGATTTTAAAAATCAAAAAAAACATGTAAAAATGTTGATTGTACGTTCATAATATTGAATTGATTATTAAGTTTTTCCAATTAATCAATTATTTTAGGTAAATCAACTGGAATAATTATAAGAATTTTTGTGTACGATAGTGTAAACCAATAAAAGCAGAGTGTATTTTTACAAATGCTTTTATTTATTTTTTTACAAGCGATCATTTCAATTTTAGTATATGTTCTACTGCAGCAAGAACAAAAAGACTATGAGAATGGGAAAATTATAGGCAGGCAGGTAAGGTGGCAAAAATATATCGCGAATGGCTGCGATGGCCCGGAGGATATGTCCTCTTGCCACACTCGGTTCTCTTGGAATATACACAATTGTTTTACAAGATTTTTATTAGCCTTTATAACTTTTTTGAATTTTATCTAACCCACATATTGTCATTGATTTAACACTGCATATTATATTTATGCAATTTATTAATCTTGTAATAAGTTTTTTGCCTAAATCTAAAACAATTCTTTTGGAATAGAGAAACTTAAAACCTCAAACTAACAACACGTTTAAAATTATTAAATTGCTTACAAATAAGTTGGCTACTCAACAAAAGGATAGTTGATTAGATGATTATAAATAATTATTTTATAAAATATGTTGCTAGACATCGTTCCGCCAAATGACAAGCTCACGAATACAAAAAATTTTAGTTTTGAGGTATTACAAAACAAATTTAACCTATTTTTTAAGGTATCTACGTACCTTAGCCGAATTTCAAAAGTCTCTAACTTCAGTTTTGTTTTGGGCAAATAATAGAGATTTTGTCAGAATGAAGAGTTTATGTACACAAATGTTGCTTTAATACAAAGTCAATTAAGATTATTTTTAGATAATTGAGTTTTCTCAGTGAGGTCGATATGCTGAATTGGTACAAGGTACTGACAATTATTACTTGTAGCATTTACGGTATTATTTAAAATTTATATTTGAATAATCTCAAATTTTCTGCAATTAAACTTGAAGCACAGCTTTTTCTTGTGAAATGAAAAGAAAAATGATAAATGGGGAAACGATTTTTTTTAAGCTGAAATATGTTCGAATTGGTTAACATAAGATAACAGTATCGTAATATTATAGTTTTACGAATCTAAATTCATAATATAAATCCAGATAGCCAAATATTCAAGTGAAATAATTTAATATTTTATACTTGTATTGTAATGTATTAAGCGTTTAATGAAAAGTTTAAAAAGATAATAGAACGTGAAGAGTTTGAATCGTTGTATAAAATGGACCGCGCATTAAAAAATCATAATCAAATAAAAGAGATACAAAAATGTTAACAATACAAAATGCCCACTATAAATAATTTGTAAAAGAAAGTAAGAGTGATTCTAAAGTTAATGTAGCTATTTTTATTGTTATGTTTTTTTTGTTTTGTCCACTTTTTATACAATCCATACTACAATAAAGTAACCCCATATATACTCGTTGCAAATCCCAATGACGAGAAAACATCAACAATATAAAAAAAATTTAAATTGATAACAATATTATAAAATTAAAAAGAGAATACACAGCCAAATAATCTAAATACCACATCGTTGCGTAAATGAGACCGTGTAAAAACATTTTTCTTTAATTCAATTAGTCGAATGTGAAATTTTGAACAATTCTGAACTATATTATTTTCATCCACATATCGTTAGTAGCATGTACGTACATAAATGGAATTCAGAAACTATTCAGAAAAAAATAATTAATTCAAAAAGGAAAATGTTGTAAAAATTATCGTGAACTCAAAAATTGTGTGCATTCAATTAATTTTAGTGCAAAATTTCAGTCGTTTTAAGTGGAAAATAATAATACCAAAAAGAAAAGAACGAAAAGAAAATTTAATTTGAATTTGATTGCACTTTAGCATTTAGATTTTTTGATTTTCGTATATTAAAGCCACAAGGAAATGTTTCGGTAGAGAAGACTATTTGCGAATTGAAATTTATATTAAATTTGTAATCTCTGTTTTTAAATTATGAAATACGCTGTTTAAACATTTAAAAGTATGAAAATTTTAATAAAATTTTAGTGGGAATCCTTTATATGTCCTGATGAGACAATCGCAATCTACAGTTTCTTGTGTAATAATTGGAATTTAGATGTTCAACTGGATTTCAGTTAAAATTGATATTGTACAGCTCATAAGGAAGGATCGGTGTTTGCGTGGTGTTTAAATTTGAATGGTTTTAAATGTGAACTGAAAATTATATTTCAAGTGTATTTGTGCCAGATCAAGTAGGATATAAACAGCATAGAACTGTTGACATATGCAGCGTTTATGCAATAATTTTTTTCTAGCAAACTGTTTTCAAAATGAGCGCCTCCCACCTCTTTTAAGCAATGAACAATATGTAATAAATATTGCACTACGCGTAATAAATGATTTTCTCGTAACTTTATCATGCTGAAAGCGAAGAATTATATCCATAGAGTTAAAGCCTGAAATTAAACTTTCAATTTTCTGTTTTGTGATGTTTGTGTGTTATCAAGTTTCTTCGCTGTAAATAGGAAACATGTTATCAAGTTGACTTCGCTGTAAATAGGAAAAACAAAATTTTAGAGAACACCTAATGGAAAAGATTGGAAAAAGTCTTTTCATTTTTAATATTTGGTTTTTTTTTACTTTTGCCCTTTTCGAAGCCTATTGCAAATGTTGACTTTGCATGTATGGTGCTCTCTGGTATCTGCCATACAACTTCAAAAGTTATTTGGCTCTATATCAGAAACTATAAAAGCTATGGTATTGGAATTTCACACAAGCGAATATATTAGTAGGGCCAATGTGTTTCATAAAAGTCGTTGAAATTGCTTCGCTCCTTCTGGTAGCTGTCGTACAACTTCAAAAGTTATTTGGCTATATCTCAGAAACTATAGAGGATGTGGTATTGAAATTTCACGCAAACGAATATATAAGTAGGGCTAATGTGTCTTATAAAAGTCGTTCAAATTAGTTGACTCCTTGTGGTACTTGCCATACAACTTCAATAGTGGTTTAGCCATATCCTAGAAAATATTGAAAACACAGTACCGAAATAATATGTTATTTGCATAAATTAATATGTTAATATGGCAACTTAATATCTTAAAATGGCATATTTATTCGCACATAGGATAACAAATTCGTACGGGTATAACAGAGTTGACAAGGTCAACTCTCTTTTTTCTCGTTTTTTTTTAATTTTACCAATGCAAGTCTCTTTCCAAGTAACAATTTGTCTTCTATTTCAGCTCAGACTTTTGTCTCTACAGAAAATAAATTACTTCAATTGAAGGTCTCAATGGAAATTTTGAGTATACACATTTTGTATAAATATTAAAACGAAATAGTACTCGTGTACCTGACCTATTCGAACCTATTTTCTAATAAAAGTATAAAAATAAAGTTTCTGTGTTCAGAATTAAACAAGGTTCAAGTGGTTAAATTGCCATTCGTGAGATTAATGCTTCAACTAGATACAAAATTTAGCAATAACAAATAATTTATTATATTTCCTGTTTTGGTATTATAATTTTCGGATATTTAAGAACACTTAGTGTCGCGGGTGAAAGAGCACTTAATTTTATGACGCCTAGGTTAATTATCTAAAAATATAAAGTTTTTGAGTTATCTAGCAGTAGCATTAATCTTACGAAATATAATTACAAATCATGTAATCAAGAAAGCAATATGGAGCAAACAGGCTTCATGTAGCAATTTCAATATATTACTGTTATAGAATTCAATAGAATTACTGTTTAGAATTCTACAATTAGATGGCATCGTTTTAAGAAATCACATTCTAATGATTTTGAGGGCTGAAATTTTTTCTGTGGTTGTTTAAACATAAAATTAAAAATATTGTACTCGTAAAACCAAAAGATTTTGTGTTTGTTCTTGACATTTTAAATTTTATTTAATTTGATTTTTACAGGCAATAAATTCTAAGGTTTAAATAATTTGTAGTAATAAGCAGATGATATAAGTGCATACACACATATGTAGTTACAATATTATTTTTTTTATCATTGGTGAAAATTTAAATTCTAGATTTTAAAATTCAAAATATAAAAAGATGACGCACAAAAATTTTGTTAAACGTTTAGAATTTTTATTTTTTACAATATTTTTTATAAAGTTTACAATAATCAATGTGATTGTATTGACAAATGGAGCCTTACTTCAATATCCGAATATAACAAATACAGAAATTAATGATACTGATGAAGTTGTTGCTTTTGCTGCTACAGAAATAAAGGAATTTTTGAATCAGGACAATTTAACTGAAGCAGAAATCGGCATTATCAAAACTAATGATGACTTAATTTACGTCGATATAGGACATGTTAATATAAGTCATGAAAAAGTTATGGCCGACAGTAAAGTTAAAAATGAAGAAATACAAAATTTGACAATAAAAATGATTGAGGATGATAATAAAGCAATTGTTGAAATCGATAAAAAAATCACACTGGAGAATGAGGAGGAGATTGAAGTAACATCGGTTTCACCGGAAGCCACCGAAATACAAACAACACCAAAAGAAATTATACAAGCAGTAAAGAGTAAACAACGTGAGTATAAATATATAGTGATAAACGTATTTGTAATAGTTAAAAGGTAATGTCATTTAACCTTTTGCATACCATGGTTTTTAAACAATATTCCATAATATTTGAAAACTATTTTGATCTCAAAAGAAAACAAAATATTCTAAAACGAACTTTATCTGACAAAAATATTTCATTCCCTAATTTTTAAGTCAATTTCAATAAAAATTTTGCCTTTCTTGACTTCTATATTAATTAACATGTTTTTTTTAATTAACACAGCTAATGATGACCTGATTATTATCAGAAATGATCAAAGTAGCCAAACTATAACAGACTTAATAGTAGATGATGATTGCAGCAGTGAAGAAAAATCAGAGGAATATAAATACATTGAGGACTCTTTAAAGAATACCAAAAACCAGATTAATACAACTCAAATCGATTTCAGTGATTTTATTGCACTCATACCGGCCGATGATGTTAGAGATATTTTTCGTTTATACTATAGAAAAGATAAGGAAGTTCAAAGAGCCTACGCATATCTAAATAGCAAAGATTTTTTAGAGTTAAAAAATAAAATATTGGCAATAACAGAAGTAAATATTTTGATAAAATATTTAAGAAAATTCGGATTTGATATAATCAATTTCCTGCAAACAATAACAAAATTAGTTGGTGACCCGGCTCAACCTAAATTACGACAAAATCAATATACAAATTATAACATAACAAGTGTATTGCAAAGTACAGATGTAAATAACCATGTTGAGAGCGCATCAATAAAGAGCATAGAATATGGTAAACCAATTTCGAATTTTTATAATTTCTAAGATTACACCAAATTTTTTATTTCTTTTTCTTTTCATGATTTTATTCAACAAATTATTATAAAATTTTGTACTTTTAAACTTATCTTTTCAATTCTTAACATGCTGCATTAATGTTTCGCAAATATTTAACACCTTCTCTGGAAAAAAAAAAACAATAAAAACAAACACGTTTTGGTCAACTTTGTTAATCTTGGATTTTCGAATCTTTGTTCATCACTTTCTGGATTTACAAATAAACTTTAATATTGGAAACTTCAAAAAAAAACTTTTAAACATTTAAAAAAAATTTTTATGGGTTTTTTTTAAAATCGATTCATAAAATTTTTTTTGGAAAACTTTGGTTTTTTGGTGAAAACTTTACAGATGAAAACCAAAATTCAACAACAATTATAGAACATGGTTTACATGGACTTATTGACAGCATATTGGATATATTGCCTCAGGATCAAATAATATCACTTTTTTTTGAAAAACTTGAAACTAACTATGAGTTTTCAAACTTAGTAAACAATATTGGTAACGATGAATTCAGTAGAATATTAAAAAAAGTTGAAGTGAGTATATTTATGACCTCTAAATATTAAGCAAATTTGTATAAGAACAGGTGAAATTTTTAAGGATCATATAAAAAGGATAAATTTTCTTTAAATTAAATTTTATTTTGATTAAAGACAAGTGAATCAAATTTTTAAAGAAATAAGTCGAATCACTTAAATAAATTCAAAAAACAAATCATTTAAGAAAACTGCTGATAAATTAGATGCTTAAAATTAATTAAGAACCCATTTCATTAGAATACAGGAAAACTATACACACAATCTTGTCTGATGAGAAAACTCTGTGGCACAAAAACTTATGTAAAACTTTATGTTCATGTAAAACTTTATGAAATAAATTAATTCCCTCATTCGTAAAGGTCCGGTGGTGGATTCAAACTCGAAATCGAAAAAATTTTATTTTGACATCATGTTCAAAAATTTTTCTGACTGTTTTCAACTTTCATATTCGTATAAGTTCACTGTTAGGTCCCCATTGTTCTCGAATGATATTTACATAAATTTTATCCAACTGGCTTTTTCAGTTTGAACGAATTTATAATTTGTCATTAAATTTGCGTTAGAGTGATCAATCGATATATTGCAACAATCTTGTAATAAAACCCTCTGGGCGCCAAAGCTAACATTTAAATGTCAATAAAATGATTTGGGAAAGCCTAATAATAATATTTTATATTTTATTTTTCAGAACTCAATAGAGCTGAAGCATTTAATTTATACTTTACATAACAATGGAATTTATGTCGAAAGGATTGTAGATTCACTTAAAGGTTATTTTTTCCTAGGATTTTGATTTGGAAGAACAAGTAATCACAATTCAATAAAATAAAAATTATTCAATTCACTTTGTATGTTTTTTCTAAAGCAAAGTTTTGTATTCGATTTAATTTAGTAATTTAAGATTTTATGTTTGTACGTGCTCACCTAACTATTGTATAATTCCTGTACAATATAAAACATAAATGCTGTATAGTATTTATTCTTATAAAACAGAAACTAATTAATCAGAACGTATAAAACAGATTTAGTCATGAATATTGTTTTTAAAACTTTCTTTACTGAAAAACTATGTATACAAGGTTACAAACTAGTATAAATAAAGGAATAGTATGTATGTATAAAAAAAGTGTAAAACTGAAACAACAGTGAATTAAACTTTTAATTATTTTTACTTTTTAGCGCACTACTGGTAAGGATGCCTAAAATTATGCTATTTTCCAAAATATTAGGTAAAAAATGGAATTTGCTAAGAAAAAAAGAGCTTAGAATTTTTTTTTCATTTCTCTGGAATAACATATTTCTTGTATGGGACCTATAATTAAAATTAATTAAAAATTAAAAAAGAAAGATGTTTTAAGTAAAATTATGAATGAAAGTTGTCATAAAAAACTGAAAACAAACGTAAAGTGATCCAATTGTATATTTCAAATTACTCACAAACTGAAGTTTCGTTAAATTTTGAAGCAATTTTCATTTTATACGGGAATCCGGATGTGTATAAAGTTTTATTTGTTCATAGATATATTATGTAATAATCAAATTCGCACTTACAAGAGAGTTTTCCCTCTGAGTACCTACCACTCAAAATTTTCTTAAAGGCCATAAGTTCTATCGAATTTCAATTAAGTAAAAATGTATTTAAATATAAAAAAATACCTTTATGTAATAAAAATAATTAGTAATACAGGTGTTCAAGCTTTAAATTAATTTAATTTTTCAAGAACTTATTAACAACTAAGATTTTTTCAGAATTTATACAGAATTTTATAATAATGAGATTAATATTTCAATAGATTGTTTTATTACTGAAGCCATAATGTACAAACTTTAGACTTAAATTCTTAAATGGAAAAGTTTTCGATGTAATCGTGTATCTCGCTTTTTTATCTCACTTTTTATTCACTTTCTTATCGGAATTCTCTCTTTTTCTAATGGATATTTCATTTTGCCAATAAGATTACTCATTTTTTCAATTAGAATTTTTTGCATTTTTTTCTCAAATTATAGACTGAACCTTCAAGAACAAGGTATAAATTTTAGAATGAAATGAGATACAAAATACGGACAAATTACTCTCACTCGAAAATAACATTATACAAATATATTATGATAGTTCCTCACTTTCTTCTCATTTAACGAGTAAATTATGGCGAGATAGACGATCAGGCTCTTAATCAATTACATTTTTTCATCTAATAATAAGAAAATAACGATAATCAATCATACCTAACTAGTAAATACACATTTAGTTATTCATAATTAAAACCGAAGAAGACGTTTTCTAAAAGAATAATAAGTTATATAATTTTCATGACATATTGAAATATTCATGTAATTTTGAACTGAGTATATTATTATAATATAACAGTCATAAAAACATAATATAGCATTATTATTATAATTTAAATATAAATTTTAGAAATTATCATAAAAGATTTTCAAAATATAGAAACTTGTAATCTTATTTTGTTATAATCGTAATAATTATTGTTATGAATTTTATTATCATTTATATTATTTGCAATATTATTATAATTGTTATTTTATTAATGAAATATAAACAATATTTTAATAATTATGTATGTTCGTATGTATTTATCTTATTTACATATTCACATACATGCACATACATACTAATGTTTTCTAGTATAATATAAATCTACATAATTATTATTTATTTGATAATAACTAATTGTTAATTGGTTTTTGCCATACTTGCATGTAAGTTTTGTACATATGCATGTACATATAAGAAATTCATAATAATAGAAAATATTGTAGGTGTGGGAAAACTTATCAAAATTATTATAAAATTCAAATTTCTGATGCTGTATAAGATGTCAAATCAAACATGACAACATATTTGATAATAAATAAGAAAAATAGTTTTTCTTATATGATTAATGAGTTTTAAAATTGTAAAATGAGGAAAGAAACGTAAATTAATTTTTAATGAAAATAAAAAGTTTTGATTGTAATAACGAAAAACTAGCTTAATTTGACAGGCTATACCCATAACGTAATTTTATTTGCTAAAATTACTTTTTACCTTAAAAATATTAAAATTCATGATTAGTAAGAAACCCTATTTAAATTATGAAGTCAATTGATAATTGAACAGTTTAAAATGTTCAACAAAATTGAAAGAGGTTCTGAATACGAAATCGAAAACTTTTTAAGCCCAAACGAAATATTGCTCTCTTCTTCTAGTTACAAGAATATCGCTTCATTCTGCTTCATACAAGATCGAGGATCCGTTCTAAAAAATTAGAAAACTATTGATTGATTCGCCTTGATACATTATTCACATTCATACATGCGTATGCTTATTATATAAAATTTTTCTTATTATTACCTACATGCATGTTTTGTAATTGCTTTATCACGGAGTTTTGAAAAATTAGAATTCTTCAAATATGGTCATAGCGCTTATTATTGAAAATATCTCTCAAATTTTTCGTCAGTTATTCTATAAATTTTTTGGAAATCGATTTCCGTGAAGTTTCTGAAAAAGCTAAAAGTTTTAAAGTTTTGAGTTCAGGGGGCATTCTAAATAGGCGGGCATTCAATTTTGGCAAAGACCAAAATTAACTTTTTGGCATGTTTTCTTTTTCTTTTTTTTTTCCTGTGCTCGCTTTAATAATAACGATAATAAATGAGTTTTTCATTCCGTCATTTTTTATGAATGTCACCGTCGCAAAGATTTAATTTCTTCAAAAAAATTATTTTTTTTCCTTGAGTCTTGTATTTTTTTTTTTTCTTTTTTTTTTTTGCAAAATTTTTGAACGCATATTAATTTATGAAAAATGTATTGTATAACATTAAAAAAAAAGCAAGCTTAAATATATGAACGTGTTTAGAATTGCCTTTTTATTCACTCATATTTAACTAAAAATTATTACTGTCATTTTAAATTTTCGCATAAGGATAAACACAATGTTCTTTCAAAAGAGAAAAGAAGAGAAAAACAAAAACAAAATGGTGTTTTTGTGTTAAATAGAATTTTCATATAAAAAAATAAAGTCATATCAAGCTGAAACATTAATAACTTTTTCATTTTTTTAAAGGAAAATATTGAAAAAGTGAGAAAATTTAAAAAAATATTAAAAACGAAAATAACAACAATAAAACAAATTTTTCAAGCTTCTATTCATTAGAGCATAATTTATTACTACTGTTCACATAAATCCTATTTAAGTGAAATTTGTTTGTTTTTAAGATTTTAAGTATCATAAATTTTTGTCGGCAGTGGAGACACATATTATTATTATTACAATAATAATATTAAAATATACCTACACACACAAGATGATAAAAACATACAGTAGAAAATATTTTGAATTGAGCACTCAAGGTTATATGTATATAAGTATGTATAAACACATGGGAGGAAATCAAATCTTATATTTGCATAATTTTGTAAATCGCAATTTAATATTAATGTAAGCCCAATTAAAATTAATTTTATATAACGATTTCATTTAAAATTAATCGAAAAACGGTCTAGACACATTTTCTAGAGTACATACCTATAATTAATTTGCCGAAACTCTTCTGTATTTAAGAAAATTATTACTGCAAAATACCATTTATTACACATAAAAGTAAAGAAAGAGTATTATTATCTATATAAGTGTATATGTACATACGTATTAGAACACGTACATTACTACATACTCACTATGTTGCTGCATATATCATATCGGTACTTTGAATTGAGTATACATAGTAACTACACATATATGTTATGCAGATACTTGTATATGCCTACGTATTTTACACAGTTTATAGCGTCTCATGAAACATTTCATCTTCATGTTTTCTCTCACACAATATTCACTTTAAAGACAAATTTTAAATGTATTATTCTAAAAATTATTATACGTACTCGTATAAGGAGTTGGGTTAAATTTTAAGATTTTTGATTATGCTGTACCCATATTATATAATATAAAATTTATTTATGTATTATACATATACATATCTATATAAATAATACAAAATACAATAATATTTATATGTATATTTACATAGACTAATAGATTTGCATGTGCACATTTATAGAAACTCTTAAAAACATTCATAAATAAATACATGATTGTATATGGTTTTTCCATTTTAATGATTAAAATGAAAAATGTAGAAAATTTTATAAAAACTTTAATTGAAAACGAGAAAAAAAATAGAGTTGACTTTGTCAACTCTGTGATACCCGTACGAATTTGTTATCCTATGTGCAAATAACTAATGTACCATAACTAACTATGGGGCAGACTATGATTTTAAGTTGCCGTATTACCATATTAATTTATGCAAAATTTCAGTACTATGTGTTATTCAAAATACTGGTTGTGCCAAACTACTATTGATGTCGTATGGCAGCTACCAGAAAGAGCCAAGAAATTTTAGCGAATTTTATCAAGCACATCGGCCCTACTAATATATTCACTTGTATGAAATCTCAATATCACAGCTTTTATAGTTTCTGAGATATAGTCAAATAACTTTTGAAGTTGTATGGCAGGTACCAGAAGGAGCCAAGTAATTTCAACGACTTTTATGAGACACATTGGCCCTACTAATATATTCGTTTATGTGAAATTTCAATACCATAGCTTTAATAGTTTCTGAGATATAGGCAAATAACTTTTGAAGTTGTATGGCAGGTACCAGAAGGAGCCAAGTAATTTCAACAACTTTTATGTGACACATTGGCCCTACTAATATATTTGTTTGTGTGAAATTTCAATACCATAGCTTTAATAGTTTCTGAAATATAGCCAAATAATTTTTGAAGTTGTATGGCAGGTACCAGAAGGAGCCAAGTAATTTCAACGACTTTTATGTGGCATATTGGCCCTACTAATATATTCGTTTGTGTGAAATTTCAATACCATAACTTTTATAGTTTCTGAGATATAGCCAAATAAATTTTGAAGTTGTATGGCAGCTACCCGAACCGGTACCCCGATCATGTCCAATTTAAATAGGGTTCTGGCACTTACTACAATAAATCACTTGTGAAAATTTGGTGAACTTAGCTCAATTAGTTTTTGAGTTATCGTTCGGACGGACGGACGGACGGACGGACGGACAGACAAAGCTAAATCAACTCAGAATTTGACGCTGATCAAAAACATACACTTGAGTCTATATCTAAGACCGTTATTTCTAAGTGTTACAAAAGGTAAGGCAAATTTAGTATACCCTTCGAACATACGTTCGTACGGGTATAATTAAAGATGAAGATCGTATCAAAAGTGAGAAATTTCAAAGACATAATTACATAATATACAAGAACACATGTACGTAAGTATAAAATATTCATATATAATATAAAATGTATTAGACTGTGTGTTTTAAAAAAAGATTATGAAATTAAAAAAAGATTTAATAAAGTTTTTGTAGTTAATATTTTTGTGTTCTCCTTTACATACAAACATATTCCCATATTATTCTGTTAGTCAAATCATTTGGGGTGGTGAGATGTAATTGAAAAGTATTGTGATTTTCAGTATAGAACTTCAAATTTTTTAATTAATTTTATTCTGAAAAACTAAAAATTTTTAACTAACGACCCCATCAAGAGATGCGACTTGCGACTAACAGAATATGGTTGAATATGTAGATACTTAGTATAAAATTTTAAGAAACTATGTATGTGAGGTGAAAATATTAAAATTTTAAACAATGTCTTTAAACAAAGTTATTACATGCTAAAGTAAAAGTACTTAGAATATTTCTACTAGATGTATATACGTCAAGATATTTCTTTGGAATTTAAACCGACTGAAATAGATGACTTGTTGCTCTTCTTGTGTCTTCGTTTTTCAAAATATTCAATTCTAATCTTTTTCAAACAAGTTCAAAAATATTTTTAGAACTTTTTTTTTTAGAACTCTTTTTAGAGACTGGTTATATGAGACATTTATTTATGACATGTGT